CCGGAAGTGACCAGGGTACAGATATGCATGTGGGCGTCGTCGACTCTGCTTGGCTGCATCGGATGCAGGAGGAGACGAGAAGAGTCCTTGTCATCCGTCAGCGTTGCATTCATGGAACTCGATCTCAGCTTCGTCAGCAACCAGGCGGCCGGCAAGATCCTGAGCCTGTCAATATTCTGCCACGGGGTCTATGAGACGAAGTTAGGTACACACAGCATCCAAATTTTGGTGCATGAATGGACGGATGAAAAGGTGTCACCCGCCAATCAAGTGCAGTGGTCTCTCTGAGTAGATAGGCAAGGCGGGAATGGTTTTAGGATCTGGAAAAGATCTGGCTTCGTGATATATTGGAACCGTTGAGGTCTATTCAAGGGTGATTAGGCGAGCCGGAAGGTCAAGAAGGGTGTGGTGTGTAGTATATTTGATGGAAATGGATGAGAAGGATGCGGGATCGGATGGGGAGGGCAATGCGGTTGGAAATTAGAGGTTGGGGGCCGACTGTAGCTGAAGGTTGAAGGCTGGAAGGATTCAGACAAAATAGCATTCAAAGAAAAAAGCAAAGCGAGTGTGTCACTGTCATGGAAGAAGAGGATGCCAGCGAGACCAAGGCTGATGTTGTGGTCCTACCTAAGGCAAGGGTAGGTAGACATAGTGCTCAAGTACCAGTACAGGTGCCTGCCACCCGTTGGTCGGAACGTTCCTGCCTCGACCGCCTTCATGGAGAGTACGTACACTTCATCTGTTGGTCGAGGAAGGGACTTGGGAGTCGAGATGGAAGGTCCCTACCTTACTCCGTACCAATCTTGGGGTAAAGGGTAATCTCAGGGAAGGTGACTGGATAAACCCGGCCCCGCCTGTCACGCTGGCTCCACCAGTCCCGGTCCATTGGGCGTGAGCTCCTTGAGGTACTGTACACCAAATGTGAGCTTTGCCCGTTTTTGCAGGCGGCCAGATTCAACAACTTGAGAGATAAGTGGAACCCAGAGACCCAACGTGCCTAAACTTAAACCTAATCTGGCGGGGCGGGACACGCTGTCAAATCATGGGGTAACCTCCACTCTCCTCAGCAACTACGAAGTATGCAGTACCTTGGGTGCCAGCTGCACTGACATTGGCCAAAGGCCGTGCCCACTTCTCACCCACCCACCTACCGCCAACCTCACCTCCCTCTTTCTGTACTCTGGGCTATTGTTCCCTCGCTCGTGGAAGGTCCCTTTCTCGAGGTAACTCTTGCCTATCTTGCAGCAAGGTGAGTCATGTGAGCCTTCTCCTCTCTCACTGCTTGCTTGGAGCCTAGCGCGAACCACCGGGTGAGCAGGTTTGGTAAGTTAAGGTATCGCAACCAACTTATGTTGGCCACTAGGACCGAGGGAGTCCTTCCAGCCTCTTCTCCAACTTTAGACTTCTTCTAAGGTATCGTATTGACGGGACGGAATGCTAGTGCTGTTGGCTAGTCTGTGTGAGCTTACTGTGCATTGAGGCGGCAATCTAGATTCCTATCAGCCAACCGACCTTCTTTGGCTGCTTTAGTCCCAGCCGCAACCCCCCCCCCCCCTCCCTCGCCTTATCTCATTGCCCTTGTCTCGTCTCTTGCTTCGCCGAACGCTCTGCTCCGTTGCCGCCACTTGTATCTCTTGCTAAGGTGTTCGGCTGGAAGAGGGTGGAAAAGAGAAGGCAGGCCCCGTAACGTAGATAGTGGCATACGGTCTCTTACGGAGTACCGTGGTTTCCCCAAAGTCCCCGTTCTTTACCCCGTATTCTCGTCAAAACAAGTGCCTGCTCGTCGGAGTCAGCGGGGAAGATACGCGTGTCAGTTGATTGGATGCCCGGTCATGACCCAATTGCGTGGCGGAGCAGCTAGCGTGTGCCAAGCTGTCGGAAGCTCAATCAACCTCCGGCTTTGCTTCCCATATCAGCTAGAATGCCCGGGGGTCCTTGTCAGCCCGAACCTTGACTTCCCACATCCCTCTCATCCAGCTGCCAGCTTCCAACTTGGACTACCTAACCTTACTCCGTACCTTATCCTTCAACCTCCCGCAAACAAGCCAGAGCTATCATTGGGTCAGTGAGTATGTACCAACACTCCTCTGTTCTGCCCTACTCTGTACGCGGTAAGGCATGGGTGCGCCTCCAACTCACTCACTCACTCACCACCATTATTGACCATCGAGAATACTAAACCTTGGCGGTGGCTTTCCTCACCTCCCTTCTCCCTAGACCACACTCTTGCACTTGCTTCCAAGCCTCTGCTTCCCCTCCATCACTTCTCCCCCAATCTCTCCCTTCTGAAGCCACCGATGAAGGGAATATTCCATTCGACCGGCGCTAATGTTTCTCTTAGCCCTCCCGTACACGTGGCTGCAAGTAAATCCGAGAATTTGTCACTATGTAACCCTTCATCGAGCTACAAACATCGTCCATTGTCTCCCACCTGACGGCTTGTGTCACTCAATCGTAGTCTTTGTGGCTTGAAGGATGAGAGGGAACTCTGTCCGTCTTTGCGGAAAGGCACATGGCAGCTTGGCAATTGTCTTCTTGGCTGTCGTATGCCACGCCCGTACCACGGCAAAGGGAGTAGGTATTGGCAGTTTCTGCTTCGGGATTTAGCATAAAAAATCCTCTGATCGTACTCTGACATATAAGCGGAACGAACAGCGAATGGATATGGCGAGCAACAAGAGAGCTAGAGTAACATAAGGAGAGGAGAGCACTACCAGGAACACGTCAGCAGCTTACTGTGTCACTCTGGCGTTGGCTGACGAGAATTGTATTCGGAAGCCCGCATCTTTATTGCGTTATGACCGCAATTTGGCCTGTGGAATCTCTTGCGCTGACGGTTCGGAAGCGTCTTCCCATTTCCCACTCGGAGGTCAAGCTCAATGGGAGACTATCTATAACGACATCGCACGGGGACGACGGCCCGGCTGGCAGTGATGCGCCCCGACTAGGTAGGAGTCGGAATGACCCAGGACAATGGACACAATTTGAGCATTGCTTGATACGTCCGCGACATGGCTAGAACGGTACGGATGTTGACCATGGGCCCTGACATGCATGCACAAGCCGTGCTACATACACAGTACGCACTCGCGGGCGAATGTAGGCGGGGTTTCGTTGATGGGCGTCTACCAACACAGAGTAGTAATTTGTCAACGGCGGCACGGGTACGGACTATGGAGTAATGTGCATTGGCTTTGGTTCCACTACTGTCTGCAAAGCACTTTGGTACATACACGGCAGCGTTGGTGTTATTTGGTCTAGACGGCTCATCCGCAGAGAAAGACTCACGAGCAAGAGGAGAGACACACCTAAGGCTGATATCCACTTACCCGGAGTCGCTACTTTAGCTACGTTTGGTGGCTGAGGTTGGGGTCCCCAGCTTAGCCTTCTTGGCAAAGACGCAACCGCAGGGGGAAGAAAAGTCACGAAGTTGAGGACAGGCGGGGAGACTGAAATTGGCATGCGGGGGAGAGATTGGATGCGGAGGAGGCAAGTGCCCCGGGTTGGTCCCTCCCCCGGGAGTGGGAGGATGGTGGGATGTGGGATGAAAGAAGGCAGACGAACAAGGATGAGTAAAAGGAGAAAGTTGATAAAGTGAGTGTCTTCATCCGTAAAGTGTGTGTGAGTATCTGAAATTTGGATAGGTAGATTGCTTCGCTTCCAAGTAAGAGTAGGTAGAGGTAGGGGTGCCTCGGCTTGATTTCGCATCTGTCTCATTTGCATCGTCTGCACCAACGCGAGAAAGATGTCGGATGGAAGTGCAGATGGAATTCAGTGGCGGACAGATCCAAAACGGGGCAAGCTGGCAGGATCCGGATCCTTAGAGGCGGCAGAGTTGCAACTGCGACGGCAGCGATGCTTTCTTTACTTCTGCATCCAAGGAGATGGGTGCGCGAGCCTCGAAAGATACGTTCGGAGGTACGGTACCTACCTGTACTTCCATCTCGAGTCGTGCGGCCTCCCGTTGGACTGGGTGTTCGAGGGCGCAGGCCAGGTTCCTTGATGTACCCCAGCACCAGGGTTTGACAGACCGAGACCACCCTTGCCGCGAAGGGTAAGGTAGGTATCTAGGTATCTTTCTCTATCTGAGGTACTCGTGTACTTTGGGCTGCTCGCTCTCTCTTTTTCCACAACACAGAAATGCCATGGATATCACACCCGCTCGTTGCCAAGACCCTAAATCTCTGGGGTTTGGATTCGATTACCCAGTTGCAGTACCTCCCCAGCTAAGCCAAGGTAAGCACATTGGGGTAAAGTCTTGACTTTTCTCAATGGAACGGGAAGGGGATGGGCAAGGTCCCGTGTTGATGAGATTGATTTAAAGAGATGAGTCGCTCCCGGGATTCTCACCAGCTCCTTCTTGCTTTCTTGCTTTTTGTTTATGCTTGGCTCCTGCTTCTCTTGCTCTTGCACTTGCACTTGCTGCCCCTCGCACTAAGAGAGAAGCACTGCACCTGCACCTGCGACTGGTTGCTTTTGCCCTGAATTCAGCTCCCGTCTCCGAAACTGATCCTTCTCGCCATCTCACTCCGTTTGGTGTGCTGAACAAAATTGCCGTGACGAACCTACAGTCTCACAGCACAAACACCGTGGAACCATCTTGAGCTTCAGCCTCAGATAGCTTCTCCCTCCCGCCAACGCCACGTGCGATTTGCATATTTGGCTGCTTACTTTGAGCTACACGGCTTCTGCTCTATTCTCGTTTCCTCCGAGGTTGCATTTCTACCGGAATCAGCTTGCGACAAAGATCTTACTGAGAGTCTCACCCATAGATCTCACTCTCATCCGAGACATTCATCAACTTTTCGGCCGTCAGCTGCCCAGGAACTCGCTCAATACCACTAATCCGAGCCATCTCGCCTCATTCCTCTCAATACCGCAAGGTAGTTTCCAGGGAATTGACTTTATAAAGTCACTCTTCGACCGGAGTCTCATCCGTCCCATTGACTTTCGCTCTTCCGACTGCTCCCCCTTCTCCGACTTGAACGCCAACCGCCAACATGTCGACCTCCGAGAAGGATATCAAAAACGGTGCCGCTGTCGACCCCTCAATCGAGGTTGAATACGCCAGCGACCCCGATAGGGCTGGCTTCGACCAGGCTGCTACCAAGAGACTGCTGCGCAAGATCGACTGGACATTGATTCCTTTCCTTGCCCTGTTGTACCTGCTGTCCTTCCTGGACCGCACCAACATTGGCAATGCTCGTCTCGCTGGCCTCGAGAAGGACCTGGGAATGCAGGGCCTCGACTACAACGTCGCCCTCTCAGTCTTCTTCCCTTGGTATGTCGCTGCCGAGATTCCCTCCAACTTGGCCATGAAGCGCTTCCGCCCTTCTATCTGGATTCCCTGCATTATGATCGCCTGGGGTATTTGCTGTACCCTCATGGGTCTCGTCCACAACTATGCCGGGCTCTTGGCTGCTCGCATGGCTCTTGGTCTTGCTGAAGGTGGTCTTTTCCCCGGTATTACCTACTAGTGAGTATTACCCTCCTCAGGCGAACTGGTTTGCCCGGGCATCTAACCTCTCTATTTCCAGCATTACCATGTGGTACCGACGTCACGAGTGCGGTCTTCGCATGGCCATCTTTTTCTCTGCCGCTACAGCGGCTGGCGCCTTCGGCGGTCTTCTCGCCAGAGGCATTGTTGAGATGAGGGGCATTGGAGGCAGACCCGGCTGGGCCTGGATTTTCATCCTTGAGGGCATCCTCACTCTCGCTGTTGGTAAGTTGCGATTCCCATGGCTTCATGTAAAACCAGTAGCTCGATACTAATGAATTCCTGTCTGAACAGCCATCGCCGCCTTCTTCGTCATGAACGACTATCCTGCCACTGCCAAGTTCCTCACTGTCGCCGAGAAGGAGGAGGTTACTCGCCGTCTTGAGCAGGACCGCTCCGCTCTTGCTGATGAGTTCAGCATGGTTTACTTCAAGGATGCCATGAAGGACTGGAAGATCTGGGTTCACATGGTTAGTCGCAGTACCCGGACAATTCTGCTTCACACGCGCAGACGTACTGACAAATATCTCTAGCTCATCACCATCGGAATTTACACCCCCCTCTACTCCTACTCTCTCTTCCTCCCCACCATCGTCAGTGGCCTCGGCTACACCAACGAGACGGCCCAGCTGATGACCGTTCCCCCGTATATCGTGGCCTGTGTGTGCTGTATCAGTGGTGGGTGGTTGGCCGATCGCCACAAGCAGCGTGGCATTTACATGATCTTCTTCTGCCTCATCGCGTATGTGTATCGTCTCACGTCCCGACAAAAGACTGCAAACTAACACTGTTGTCACAGAATGACCGGCTTCATTATGCTGCTTTCCTCCCAGAGCAACGGAGTGAAGTATGCTGGCTGCTTCTTCGCTGCCTCCGGTATCTACCCCAACGTTCCCCAGGGTGTCGCTTGGAACGGCAACAACATCGGAGGCTCTGTGAAGAGAGGTGTTGGAATTGCCATGCACGTCGGTCAGTCTCAGTTGCTACTCACCTTTGTCAATAAAGTAAAGATTACTAACAGGACATAGGCTTCGGTAACCTTGGTGGTGCTATTGCTGGCTTCCTGTACCAGGCCAAGGACAAGCCTCACTACTACCCCGGCCACGGCACACTCTTGTCGACGTTGACCATGTCAATGCTTCTCTCCACCTTCATGACGATCTACCTCCGTCGCGAGAACGCCCGCCGAGACCGCGAGTACAAGGATCCTTCCCAATACACTGCTGAGGAGAAGGCAGCAGAGCGTCACAAGGGTGACAACGCCACCTTCTTCCGCTACACGGTTTGAGGGGCCATGAGTCTGTTGATTTCAGTGCAATGTTTTTAGCACAGTAAATTGGTGTTCTTGTCTGTATAATGCAGTACATACGCGGATGATGCATATGCTATAGAGAAAGAATGGGAGCTTTCAAGGGGATAGATACGGCTTATTCGAGGTCCCCTTAGAGCTGGGCAACAAAATAGAGGCACATCTACGTCAAGATCATTCACTGTGATTCCATATCTTTGCAAACGTGACATGCGAATACAGTTTTGATTGAGTTGTCAGAAACATGAAGCTGACCGAACAATGGTGCTATGATCAGTGCTCAATGGGAGTTAAGTCACGAATTTGATGAGCCTGCGTCTTCATGAGTAATCACTTACAAGTTGTCTCTTCAAAAAGCCGGATGACACTCAAGACCCCAACATTGCTTCCAAATCTGCCTCTATCCGAAGGATAATTTCCCCTCTTCCCGCTTCTGGTGCCGCCTTGGCTCTGGTCCCCAAGAAGGGGGCGGAGTCTGCCAATACCCTTGGCCTTTACATCCTTTGCCCCGAGACTTGGGGAGGTCGGGGGAGATCTTGGGGAAAACCTGGGGTAAGGAGGTCGACTGGATGAGGGGATGTTGGTGCCAAGATTTAGTCAAAAGGGAACAGGGTAGCAAGGGTTATGTTTGCGTTTGGGGCACCGGATCTGTGATTGTCTGCGAGATCGGGCAAACTTGATGTTTGACAGCTCGTCTGGCTCCGTGTGATGGGTCCAGGGTACATAGTACTAATACCGGTGCTAGTGCTATGCTACAGGAACTTGGAACTTGCCGATTAAAGCACGTCATGCAAATGTGAGTTTGACAAGCTGGATCGTGGGACGAACCGCTGCCCTTCCGTTTCTCCGACCGTGGGGGGTTGGAGACTCGTGGAGGGGGCGAGGCCTCCAGGTCTCAAATGAACTTACTTGAGAGTCAAAAGCTGTCCTCGTGGCGTTCTAAGACCGAAGATATTGAGGCACTCGAGATACTTAGTTCCATTCTCTCAACGGTTCCCCAGGTTCCCCAGGTTCCCCAAGTTCCTCGGGTTCCTAGGCAGCCCTGCACGGGCGTTCTGCTAGACCTGGTGTACTGATAGGTTATCCACCACGTTGTTACGATCTTTTTGACAGGGGAGGGGCGGGGAAGGCGGGACTCACGCACGTTACAAGGGTACTTCAACTGGAGGATAGAGTGAATATGTGATGGAGCTCATGAATGATAGATGGATACATGATAGATGGATACATGATAGATGGATACATGATAGATGGATACATGATAGATGGATACATGATAGATGGATACATGATAGATGGATACATGGTAGATGGATACACTGATAGGGCCAGATGAAGAAACATTGTTTGATTCCAAGTTGTAAGACTATCTTTGTAGGGTTCTCATCATCATAACAGGCAATGGATTAGTCAAACTATTGTTTTCTTGGAACCCTGTTCATATGGCCATGGCAGACCCGGTTTGTTGTATTGATATCGCCGACGAAAGCGATATCTACCTGGCTTCGGTCTGGATCTCGGTGCTTCGGTGGAAACCCTTTCTTCTCAGCCACATGCTGACATGCTGAAAAATTTTCTGTTCTTTGAAATCTGGCCAATCAGTGTTGTAGCCTTTGAATATGTTATGTCTGCAATTCAGTATGTTGTGGCAATCTTTGACTTTACTGGGCTACCTAGGTCTTAAACAGCAGAGCAGGAAGGACTACAGCCAAATCCGTTGGCAAGGAAGTATGAGGAATTTAATGCTGCCAATGTACGAAAGGCTTTGTTGAGTATAGACAGGGTGTGCGGACTTGAAGTTTCTCAACACCTGATGACTTTGTGCCACCTTTCACGGGATGGCTGAAGTATGGAATTTCATAATTCGGCGAACACGGCGTCAGTATTAAGTAGGTTGAGGAACGGAGCGTTAACCAATGCCTTTGAAATCACGTAAGCGAATTAGAAAAGCAGCAACACAAAAGGTTGCACTGGTTTAGGGCGGGGAGAGGTCGGAGGACAGGGCCGGTCGGTGGGGCCGCCACGGCAAGGGACGGATATGCCGGAGGTCGGCCCTATGTACCTTACTAGAGCGTCTCACGGCTACGGGGTACCGTCGGCGGTCAAGGATCAAGTAGTTACCTAATCAAGTGAGGTAAGAACGGCACTGAAGCGGTCTTTCGGCCTCTATACGTATCATTGATCCGACAGACGACTCAGACGACGACTGATATAATTCCTGTGCCAATTCCAAACTTTGTCCTGGCGTTGGCTTCAACAGATCAGCATCAATAGCATGTGATAAAATGTTCAAGCAAAAAGAGTTCACCACCGGTGTGGCTATTCTCCTGGCGATTGTTATAGTGCTCATGTTGGGATCGGAGCCTGTCGAGGTAGGCTATATGGCGATAATTGATTGTTGACCTTTTAAGCATTCCACCATCTAGCCAAGTTTGACCTGACCCGCCGTCCTAGACGGGCGCCTGCTTGCTGGTGACGGGAATGGAGTTGAAGAGGGGTATATACCCTTCTCGCGTAGTCGGATGAAAGATGCAGCGTCATGTGTGGAAGGTACGCTTATCACCGTCAGGAAAAGGGTGAAGGAGCTGAGTGGGTTGAATCCATGGCAAGCTGCTTCCATCGAAGCTGATGAGTATAGTGCCGGCGACGGAATGCCTTGGAAGTTGCCTCCGAGAGATGTACGGTATAGTAATAAATGGTGACAGTGATTGGCGCTCTAGACCTCAATCGGTTCGAACATCTATATTGATACGACACTGTGGCTGCTGCTCAAGTCTGTTGTCTTCCATTTAGTGGCTACGATCCCAGACTTTTGCAAATAGCCTGAAGTGTCACGTATATGCTCGTTTGCTAAGTATGTAGCTAATTACCCGGCGCCGCCGGACACATCGCCACAATATAAAGCTACCTTGGATCTCTCTGGGCTTCTGACCGCTACCTTGATTGAGATATCAACTAGCTACGTTGTATTTGGCAAGTCTCTTCTGGATGACCGATGCATAATACGGTTTTAGGATAGTCTATAAAAGGGGCCCTTCGCAAGATGTATGCCATCTGACGAAGTTGGTCGCAGCGAAACAAATATCCCCACGGGTGTTCCTTAATAAACTCATATTCCGTAAGCTTGGCAATTCATAAAAGCCAACATGCTTCCATCCGCCGCGCTTCTGATAGCCTTGATCGGCTCCACAGCCGCTCTACGCATCAAAAGCGTCACCCACAGCGGACCAGCTTGTCCCCAGACCGACAGATTGACTTGGTCCGGCGGCCTGGACGATCTGACCATCACCCTCCCCGACTTCAGCGAGACTCTAGCTGCCGGCCAGATGACGAGCTGTCAGGTGCACCTGCTCATCGACGAAGGCGAGCCAGGCAAGTCTCTGCTCCTACAGGATGTTACGCTCAGCGGGGGTCTTTACCTGAGCTCCAACACCAAAGTCGATTTCTACACGACGTCGTATTGGTCTGAGACGGCCTCCGATACTGTGAGTTTATTGTCCATGCTTATTGGGTGTTGGGCAGAGGAAAGGATGCTGACTTGTGGGGAAAAGGTCACCAAGTCTACGAGCACGGCGTCTGGCTCCACGGCTGTTTTCCGGAACGTGGAGGTGGCTCAGCGTGTGAACTCGGTGTCTCCTTGTACTGGTGGCGATGGCTACGTCGGGATACTGAATGTGACTTTCCGCATCATCTCCCAAGGCGGGGGGTTGGTTATCTTTGGCAAAGAACGCAAGGATGGTGCGACTTCTCCGGTCACGGAATCACTGGCTCTCAAGTGGCAGAGCTGCTAGACACGGTTGTGTATAGAGGGTAAAGAGGCAAATGGTGGTGAGATTGGGGAGTTGGTGTTGCCGGAAAACTGCCGTGGGCGTCACTTGTAATGAAGCTAGCACTGAATGCAAGATCAATATTACATGGGACAGGAAGGCACGCATTAATTACCAATGTGCTTCATCGACTATCGAACAAGGTCTTGTTGTACAACACATTACATTGCTACATGGAAGACATGCGTCAGCATTTATAGACATGTTTCCAATCTGTGCTGCCGCTGCTGACGCCATCCTAAGAATCGACCTGCCGTGGAACAGCACAATGTGAAGTTCCGTATCATCACTATCTCCCACTGGTCGAAACGCCAGTACGCCTTGAATCATCGTCGTGAAAAGGCATTACCACATATGACTGATAGTCCTGTTCGAAGAGTTGTCGTTGCCAATGCTATGTAAGCCGCCAAGAACGGTCGGTTCTCAATAGAAATCGTCGTCACGTATCCACCTAAAAACCGGGATGTGGGCGAATGCCATTACGTCTGCCCACGACGCATCCCGCGGGGCGCAATCGGAGTCGCCGACAGATCGTCGAAGGAAAGAAAATAAAAATCAGCTTCGTCGGTATAACGCGTCGCGCGTCCAGTGGATATCGTTCGTTACAGTCGTAATTCGTAGCAGAGGGACGCCTCAGCATGAGCCTTCGGAAACCATGCGATCCCGGCCTCCAAAAACAATTAGGTTGAGAAAGCTCGAAAAAGTATTACCATACTCCCGACGGGATTTCTCATCTCGTGGGCAAGAAGTTCTTGGAGTCACTCTCCTGCTCGGAAAATGATTGAGGGAAAGCGGCGAGACCTGCGACGATGGCGACGGCCATGAAGGCGACGCTAATGAATGACCAAATGAGACCCCAGCAGCGAGAAGATCCGCCGTAGCGTTGAGCGAAGACGCTTGCATCGGAGCTGTTGACCTTGCGCATGATGAGATCGTCACAGATATCCCATACGGAGTAGAGTGAACTCATGACTCCAATGAAGAGCTATTGGTGTGTTAGAATCTCACTCATCTCTAATTACGCATTAAAAAGATGGAATGGCAGGCTTTGACTTACAACGACGAATCTGAGAGCTTGAGCGTGAGAGATGAACCAAGCCGCGACCAGCAGACCGACAGCGAGAAGAACCGTGAGAATCGTGAGCCAGTCCC